TCAAAACCATCATTCATGACATCAAAATATAATTAGGAACTGCAAAAATAATTTTGAAAAAWGATTCAAGATTTGCTGAATTAAAAAGCAACAAATCTATATAAGGCAAAATAACTTTGAGCTCCTTGTGCTTTTGATACTTCGACGGCATTATTAATAGTTTGTTTTATATCATTAGTAAAAATAATATACAATATTGTTTATTAAGTGACTAATTTAGCTATTTTCAATTTTAAAGYTAAGAATGGAAAATTTAAAACATGGTTACTCATTAGTTGTATAGTTTATACTATAGTCAACAAATATTAAATATGTATAAACTTGGTTTACATTGTTTATAAACAATGAAAAATGCAATTTTTTGGCAAAAATGAATTCAAAATACTGTATTGTTAATATCTAATAGTAAAATAAATTACTTTAATAGCAATAATAATATCATGCAATCTTATTAAAAATTATAATGTAGACTAATAGATCGTCTTCGCTTAATGTCTTTTTTTTTAAATAAAAATAAAAATAAATTGAATWTTWATATATTCATAGCACTATTACAGTGATCCACCCCAAAGTACCTTACTCTACAGAAAATCGGTACCTACTTGCTCATCTTYTTTTACTTTGATGTTATGAGAACAACTTTGAAAATAATAGAGTATGAAATGTTATAAAGTTTAATCATTAATTATTAGAATGTTTTCTTCGGAAGTATAAAATCATATCATATATTGTACATAAGTACACAATATAAATTATAATATATTATTTACTGTAATAAGTATTTTTAATAATAGCACAGTTTAATAATTATAATATTATCTTTTGCATTACGCTAGATTAATTTTATTGTTTATTCACAATACACTTTAATGGTTCCAAACAAAACTTAGTTTATCTGTATCTACATTTTTTGAAAAATTTTTTTTCATCCCCTTAAATTCGCTTAATATTATAGATWATATGGAACGAATACTTTACTTTACCAAGTTTACTCAACTCGAGTAAGTAAATCGATTGATAATAGTTCAATTACCAAATGTCAAACATACCTATTACTTTAAATTGAGGGAAATGTATTTTTTCTAAGAAATAAATTATAAAGAATTTTAAGAGAATTGCATTTATTTTATATTTTAAACACAAACATTATATTTTATTGATTTCCATTGTTATATTTTTGTTTCCAATTAATAAAGTAATTTGTCATTGTCTATTTGTTTACATTAAAAGTCTGAGATCCTAGGTATTCGGTTGGGCCATAAGATACAGATTTTGGTGCAACTGTGGTTGATACGAATCCAGCGTTGTTTCCGTATGATTTTTCGTTCAGGGATAGTACTTGAGCAGCAGCAGAGTTGGCAGAATATGCCAGAGGAGATGCTCCAGAGTATGCAGAGTATGACGATGGGACAACACTAGAATAAGATGCTGGTAATGCGGCGGTGTATGATGCAGAGTTTACACCAGAGTATGATGCTGGGTAGGCACCGTACGAYGAGGCTGGAGATGCAGCAGAGTAAGTAGAGTAAGATGCTGGGGATGCAGCCGAGTAGGTTGAGTAAGATGCTGGGGAAGCACTGTAGAAAGAGGCAGCTGGGGATGCAGCCGAGTAGGTTGAGTAAGATGCTGGGGAGGCACTGTAGAAGGAGGCAGCTGGGGATGCAGCCGAGTAGGTTGAGTAAGATGCTGGGTAGGCAGAGGAGTAAGATGCTGGGTAGGCAGAGGAGTAAGATGCTGGGTATGCAGAGGAGTAAGATGCTGGGTATGCAGAGGCGTAAGATGCTGGGTATGCAGAGGAGTAAGATGCTGGGTATGCAGAAGAGTAAGATGCTGGGTAGGCAGAGGAGTAAGATGCTGGGAGGACAGCAGAGGATGCAGCGGAGTAAGATACCGGGAAGGCAGCAGATTTGGCTGAGTAAGATGTCGGGTAGGCAGAGGAGTAAGATGCTGGGTAGGCAGAGGAGTAAGACACTGCTGGGTATGCACCTGAGTAAGTTGAATAAGATGATGGGTACGCTGATTGATATCCAGATTTGTATCCAAAACCAGATCCGTATCCAAAACCAGATCCATATCCAAAACCAGATCCGTATCCAAAACCAGATCCGTATCCTAAATCGATTAACMACAATAATTAGTATGTTAGAAATAATTTGAATATAGACATATTATTTGAGAGACCAATGTAACTAGAAAATTATTTGTAAATTGTTCTAAATACGCTTACAAATAAAATTTAATACTATTATGTTGTTTTAT